CACATAATACGTACTTAGGATTTAAAGAATGTGCCAAACAATGGAGTGGTGTGCTACTCTTAGTCCATCGCTCCAGTATAATTTGATACACCACATCAAAAAAGTCACTTTGTTCATGCAGTTGCTTGTGCTCTTTCCTATAGATAGCTGCCTTCACCTTTTCTATCATGGTATCCCACCACTCATAAACCAAATGAAGAGAAGGTTTATCTGTGTCAGCCATCCTAATCATCTCATATATAGAAGCTGTAAAGGAAAGTATATAATCAATCTCATCCCAAAAGTATTCATCCAATATCTTTTCCTTCACTGCTCTTGCTTTGCCAACATCATCCTCTTTATATAAAGACCAGTTTGGACTAATCACCATTTGTTCTAGACCTTTCTTTACTTCCTTAAATCTTCTAATCATCACAAGTGTAGATGCAAACCTTGTTTCAGCAATGGAGAGCAACTTCAATTTGCAGTGGTCCTTATACATAGTCAATCTCATATTATGGTTCACAATAAAAAATTTTATGAACCCAACATCAGCAGCAATCTCTGAAATCCAACTACATTTATCATACCAATCGTCATTTTGTTTTGGTGAACATATGCTCTTCAAAGCAAGATTAAGAGTGTGAACCACACATGGTGTCCAAAAGATATTGGGATATCTAGCCTCAACAAGTAATCCAGCAGCTCTACAAACTGGCGCATTGTCAGTGATTACTTGAACCACATTTTGATAACCAATTTCCTTAATGGCATCGATAAGAAAGTTGGCAATACAATGTTTATCCTTGTACTCTCCATCACAATTAATTCCCTTCAAGAACATAGGCCCGCTCTCAGAAGTTGCCATAATGTTAATAAGTGGTCTTCTTTGTGAATCTGTCCACCCATCACTACACACACTTACACCTTTAGTGCTCCATGTACTCTTGATTGGTTGTAAACATCGCTCAACGTGCCTCTTCTCTTGTTGCAAAAGAGTAGTTCTTAGTGCATTGTAACTTGGTGGAACATATCCTGGAAGCGTAGAAGAACGAAAATAGGAGTTTCGATAATGTGGATTCCTTGCCAGGTGGAAGGATAATCCACTTGTATAAAACATCCTTGCAACTTCAGCATCACATTGTTCTCTAGCCTCATTTTGAAAAGCTCTATCAAGGGGTCCATTCATTCACTTTCTCTTCTTTTGCTCAACATTAGACATAGAAGAATAAAGTAAAGAATCAGTATTAGGCAAAGACACTTGTCTTGGAGCACATTGTTCTCTAGCCTCATTTTGAAAAGCTCTATCAAGGGGCCCATTCATTCCCTTTCTCTTCTTTTGCTCAACATTAGACATAGAAGAACAAAGTAAAGAATCAGTATTAGGCAAAGACACTTGTCTTGGAGCTGCACTTTTCAACCGGTGTTCACATTCTCTCATAAGTTTTTTCATTTCTGCAAAAACTTCATCAGTAACCTTTTTGCAAGGTGCAATCCCGTTGCCCGACATTTTCAACAAATGAAACTTGACTCTAGAGTAGGAGCCTTTGTAAGTATTATGACAATAATTGCATTCAAACATAGTATTTCCTCCTCCTTTTCCTAACTTGTCAAGCCTTTTAACATACTTCCATAATGGCGCATGATCATCTATCTCGATTTCATTATTCTCAGCATGATTAACATTAGCACTTGCATTATTATCCGAATGACTCATGTTCCTGAATATAAAAAAAATTCAACATATTAAATATAATATTATTAAATTAACTAACCACAATTTTTCTTTTTTTATAACAATCAAATTGGTACAAAAGGAAATATAATAATATGAAATATAATAATGTGAACTTGCAAGTATATATATATATAATAAATGAATTTGTACAAAAGCAGTGGGTCGGCTGTGTTGAGAAGTGGTGGGTCACTTTAATAATAATAAATTAATTTGTACAAAACGACATGTTGGGTTGGGTTCCAATCAAAACGACTGTCACTTTATTATTTGAACAACTCAAAATCAAAATCAAAGAACGAAACACTATCTATCAGAGAAGAACACTATCAGATAGAGAGAGAGAGAGAGAGAGGTGAACATACCAACAGTCTCCAAAAAACAGAGAGCAACTTGAGGAACTGACAGATGAATTGAAGAACCAAGCTTCTTTTATTTGGGTGGTGAAGAAGATGAAGAAGATTTAATGAAGAAGAAGAAGAAGAAGATGAATTGCTGGTATGGGTATGGTTTTCCTTCTTCTTTATTTATATAAAGAAGATGAAGATCTGTCTGTAGGAATTCAATTAGGAAAAGATCTTCAAAGTTCCTAAACAAAACAGGTATCCATGTTGTTCAAGACTTCCTAGTTCTGTCAAAATTCTAATTTTCATTTTTTTCTGAAATTTTTTCCTAAATCGTATCCTCAAATTGGGATACCCGTATCTGTCATGTCAGATACGCGTATCCTTTTGCGATTGACCGTATCTGTTGACTCGGATACGTATCCCGTGCGTATCTCGGCGTATCCGCTGCGTATCAGACACGGGATACGCTGGTCTCCATGCGTATCCGTGCTTAATAGTTTACAGGTTTCTGCAATGCATTTTCTCTCCTCATTGTTGGAGGTTGCGTCACATCGGTTGGTCTTAACCACTATCATCGGCTCCTTGACTCCACATATGTTTCTTCTATTGTCTATCCTCAGTGGAACTGTTGGAGTTTGGGATGCCCTTAAAGTGCAAATCGCACTTATTGCTTGGATTATGGTAGTGCTACTCCTACTTGGTGTAGCTTTGGTGGCTTGCCCACCACCATTTTCTGTTGGTCACTGGTTTCTCCTTGGTGGTTGTCGGCTTGCTATGGTGGCGCGGCTTGTGACTGTAGGATTGTGAGGCAGATGTCTGTTAATGGTGTTAGGGTTTCCTAATGTTGTGTTGAGCTTTGTGGGCTTTTGCATTTTGTGGGTTTTTCTGCCTTTATGTGGGCCCTTCGCCTCTATGTGGGCTTAATGCCTTTATGTATGCTTTATTCATTTTGTTAGTTTTATTTGTAGGGGGCTATGTCTGTATGCATTGCATTTTGTGTGAACTCAATTATTTGAGTTCATTTTGATGTAATATGACGTTTGACCTTCTATTTAATGAAACAAGATTTCGTCCAAAACATAACAATAATCATTCTATAACGCCAAATTAAAGTAACAAAAGGATTGAATCATTTGTGTATAGTCTGAAAAATAATTTGTGCAGCATAGATGGTAGTCATCTAAAAAGAATAAATCATTAGCAATGGAGACAACTACCATAGAAGTAATTAAAAATAAACAAGATTAAAGATCTCAAACTTGCAAGGAAAAGAAAACCTTAATTAAGGCAACCACAATCACACAATCTGCTACTAAGATCTTACCTCAGATCTAACTTTGGAGAGAGAGAGAGAGAACAAAACCAAAAAAAATATGAGAAAATCGCAAAAAGAAAACAAAAAAGAACAAAAAGAGAGGGAGATGAATAGGGTTCATAGAGAAAGTCAAAAGACATTCATGCTGCCATTATGCGACTGCTCTCCTTGGGAAGGATGAGTCTTTACTTTTGTATTTATTTTCAGTTTGCAGTTATTTTGTGTTTTTTGGGTCATCATATATGGGCTATAAAAAATTTGTGTACCTCTCTCAAATTTGGGCCTTGTGCTGTCGGCATGGTTGCCTTGGGCCAGGGTCGACTCTGGTCGGAGAGATGCACCAACTCAAATTAAAAAGTTGACCAAGGGGTTATGAAACTAACCATTCAAAGAGCCTGAAAAATTCATACCTAAATTAGGCCAGTTGGACATGGAGTGAACCCATCCCTTGCACACAAGTTCGAATCTTCCATCCGTTTTAAAATAAAATATTAATAATTATCAAAACGCAAATAACTTAAGCATTTGAGCGCTAATTAAAGTAGAATAAATCTGAATAAAGGAGATATGAAAACTTATATAATAAATGTACAAAATAAATTCAGTTTTAAAGAGGTAATCAAAACCACTCAAAATTTGGAAAATTACATTCAACATAAAATAAGTATTGAGATTAAATTTTGTGTTTGAAATACCCACATAGTTAAGGAAAAACTCAACCCCCACAAATTAGGGAATTCTCAAAATATATGAAGACTTTACCAAAATTTATTTAATTTTAAAATTATAAGATATGTACTCATAGTTATCTTGATAGTCATTGTAAACATAACAGTGAAACCATCGAAAGCCTCAAAAGAAAAAAAATGCCTCAAAAAATTTAGGGTTTGGAAAGTCTTACACCAAAACTCAAAATTAATACCACTTACAGTGATATA